TCCCATTCTAGCTGTAGTTTCTTCCTCGTTTAGGCTGACTTGTCTCTCATTGGACCGCTGTCAAAATACCATCAGGCTCTTATCGTCCAACTCTACATAAACATGGATTTGGTATATTTGCGGCTATTTACGGGCAATAGGTTTCACAAGTCTGTCGTACAGGAAATGAGTCTCTCGTATTATTCTGTTAGGTCTTTTTGAACAATGTAGTCCCAATGACTCCTACCAGCCCAAATTCCCCAAAGACAATTAACGTGCTGTGGTAAAAAAGATTTTGCTATGCCCTGTGGTCTGACGACGCAGTGTGCTCCAAACAGCATTCGCCTTCTGAGTGGTTTTGGCTGGCATCTAGTCATTTGGTTTACATCCTCTCTAGTCAAGGTCGCGATAAGCGAAGTGCCGGCACCGGCAAAACCAATACGACTCGTTTGCCAACGCAAGCCGACATGCGAGTCCTAGGAAGTATTTGAGGAGAAATAGATGTGATCAGTGGGACAAGAACTTTTTTTCGCCTGACGTCCCGAAATCCGTCGCAGATCTTTCTTCAGCGACAAACGGATAATTCATGCACTGGGAGTTGTAGTATTCATAGGATACGGTTAATATGCTACTGCATACTTCTGACAATTAACGACTCCCCTGTCGAGGATAATTATCCGCTTGCGCGCTGATGGCCATCGGGCGGGCCGTGACCGGTTGAATTTTCGTCACACGTGGTGAGATTGGACGTGATGATTGCTCGGCCATTTGGCTCCCTGGCGTTGGCCCGTGCGTTCCCCAAGTAGCGACTTGCTTTGGTCAAACCAAGCCTCAACACCAAATATGGGCTTGGCCAGTCATTACACCTGTTTATAGACTAAGGGCCCGTTAACTATGGCTCAAGTAACTCGCGAATCAGGATTGTCACCTCTCGCGAGAATTTCGGCCTCATCAAATTGGAATGTGTGGCCGGGTCTCATCGAATGAGCCGCAACTTGAGAATTAGCGTAATTTCTCCGACAATTCGCATCTTGAGAATTCTTCCAGTTTCTCCGACGCATTTGCTTTGTCCAGATACTATAGATGACTCCAGATGTTTCTTTCCATGGCAGTGGCTTTTTTGCTTTCATTGTCTAACACCTTATGGTTTCCTCTGGTCTGTGTGCGACTCCAACTCTAACTGCTGCGAGAAGGCGGCCGACGGCCCCCGAAACGTTTTGACGTACGGAATCGCTCACCGAAATTTGGGATCGGCGTGATTTTGTTGTGCATCTCGTTTGCGCACGCACCAGTTGGTGAAGTTGCGCAGGTAGCCATTTTCCCTGAACACCCTTCGAATGCATTTTATTTCGGCAGCTTTATCGTCCGGTTCACTGCAAAGCGTCTCAACACGCCGATAAAGCATTCTTACACAAATGCCCGTTTGTTATTCCTGTGAGGCAATTAATTCCATTGTATTCTAGTACGGCGGAGCTGTCCTTGACTGACTTTCTGTATTGGAGTTTGTGTGAACCAGTTTCTGGAAACATCCGCAACGTTCCATCAACCACCCTTTCGTACTCTTATTTTTCGATTAGGCGCACTGACAGCGCTCGTAATAGCTAAAAAACCAGACATTGTTTTGCCGGTTGTAAGTCGCTGCACGACACAGCCGCCAGGGGTAGTAGATGGCATGCGCGCTCCCCTACATGAGTGGCAATGCAAAATTGCTTTTCCTTTCTGTCAGACAGTTTTTATTCCCGCCAGATAACCTTTTGCCATGCTACTTGGTCGCTCTTGTCAGCATAGAATGTCCAGACGTGGGGTTATTGCGCTTATTACTCGATTTAAGGCTAGATAGTTAATATTGAAGCAGTTAATGACTCGGTAGTGGGTCTCCCGAGTGTAATGAGAGAGAAAGAGAAAAATGCTTTATTTAGAATGGAATATCCTAAACTTTCAGCAAAAAATGGCTCCATTCACGGAGAGCAGGGGATGAGGTAAGTAAGGGGTCATGGTAAAAGGTCATAGAATACTCAAACTTAAAGTTTTACACGATAGCCACATCTGCTATCGAGA